GCTTATTATTATTATTATTTTCAAACAATATATAGATAAACACACACAAACAAAATAGTTTAGTGATAGCAGTTGAATAGAATAACATAGGATTATTATTATTATTATTATTATTTTCAAACAATATATAGATATTAGACACACACAAATAAAATGGTTGAGTGATAACAGCTCAATAAAATATCATAGGTCTTACAGTTTCAACAAATTAATAACACGTTCTTCATCGTCCCTCTTCTCTTTCTATCTCTTGCTCCTCTATCTTCTCTCTTTATCTTCCTTCTTTTTTCTATCCCCCTTTCCTTATTTTCAACTTTTTTTTTGTGTGTGTTTTTTCGAAAGTAGTTCAGAATCATTACGTAACTGTGCGTAACAGGCTGTTACGGCTGTTACGGACCGCCACGACACCCGCTACGACCGACACACCTGTGAATCTCAATTACACTGCAAAAGCTGCCGTAACGGGTAACGGTAACCACCACAACTGTTACGTAACGGTGTTACGTAACGGTTGCGGCCGCTTTTTAAAACCTTACTGCCTGTGGTTTGAAAAATTACAAATACTTTCTGTCAGAATTTTTTATTTAACAAAATTAATTGAAAAATTGAAATTTCTAACTGTTCACTTATACAATAATAAAATTATTCGAATTAATAATTGAAATAAAATTTTAACATTATTAAAAACTGTTAATTAACTTGATGATTTATTAATAAAACGACCTATTTGTTATGAAATTAGAAACCTTAGGGAGCATAATGTAATTTCTAGAACTACAGAAGATAATTTATAATTTAAGTAAATCTCAAGGGGTGTGTTTGTAATTTATCCAAAAAATAATAATACTAGAAAATTGCTTCAGAGCTCGAAATTTTCAATGCTCGAATGACCCGAATTCCAAAATAATGTCGTTTTAGATTTTTTTTTTTCCCCTTTCTCTTTTATCTATGAAAGAGAGAGAGAGAGAAGAAGAAGAGAGAAAGAGAGACAGAGCGAGGGCGAAGAGAGAGGAAAAGAGAGGAAAAAAGGAAGGGGAATAGAGAGAAAGAGCTCCACCCATCACCAGTGCCGCTATCCTCTGTGTGTCTCTCTTTCTGTGTTCTGTGTATCTATCTCTCTCTCTCTCTCTGATTTGTGGATTTTGATTTTGATTTTGGGTGTTGTAGTGGTGGAGCAGAAAATACGGAAGAAGAAGAAGAAGAAGAGAAGAAGAAATAAAGGGGTAGTGGAGTAGATCTGTGTATACACAGATCTAACCAGCACAGATCTTGTTTATTTTTTTTGATTTTTTCTCTTCTCTATCTCTTTTTTTGATTCTAAGTTATGGAAGAAGAAAACAAAAAAATAACAGAGGAAGAACAAATCTAGGAACACAAAAGAAGACAGAGAAAGAAGAAAAGAAAAGGAAAAAAAAATAAAAAAAGAGGTGTCGTTTTGGCACCTCGAGCTATTCGAGCCTTGATGATTCGAGCTACCTAGCGGGATTGATAATAATAAAATAAAATTTGTTTTGTTGTGTGTGAACAAATTTCACATCTTTTGTGATTGAATCAAATAGTATGATTAACTCTATTTAAAATGTAAAAATTAAATGATTCTACTATTTAAATTAATCACAATATAAAATTGTAATGTTGCAAATCTAAAAAAATTATTCATAATTTTATCTTAGAAAATCAACATATGACTCAGATTTAATCTAAATATAGGACCGTTCATATTACTTTCATATTACAATTGAAAATTTAAAAAAAATAAAATAAAATATGAAAACAACATCATAAAAACTAGAGATAAAAATTTAGCCTAAAAGTGTCATCAACATTTTTTTTTTTAAAGTGCGATACACCTCACTCAACTTATGTTTTGAGGGTGGTTTGAGATGTTTTAAATAAGTGTATTTTTTGACTTTTTATAAAAAGATGTGTAGAAAAGTAGAAAGAAGATATTAATTGATATGATCCCAAAAAAAATAAAAAGATAGACTAAAATAGGTTATGCCAAACAAGGCTGACATTTTTGTACTCCTATTTTCGGTACATATAAGAGTTGAAGTTGAGAAAAGCTAAAGGCATTAAAAAGTGAGACTCGTTTGGGAACATATTTTTTTAGTAATTTTTTAATTTTTTGGTTAAAATATGATGTAAAAAAAATTAATATGTTTAGAATAATTTTTTAATTTTTACGAAAAATGTGTAAAAAGTAGAGAGAAAATGAAAATTTTGACTTTTTAATATATGTTGTTGATTTTTTAATTTTAAATTAAAAAGTGATTTTGACAAACGAGGCCTTGACTATATTCCCTCATCTCATTTGGTACTCAGGACAGAAGATTGATGGAAGAAATTAAGAATTTTAGAAAGTGAGATGTGCAATCTTGGAACAACACTACAACAAGAAGCTTGGAAACAATTTAGGGATTATGTGGATATTTTACTATCTCCCCATGTTAGCTCCTAATGGACCAAAACCCAGTCACATGATGGATCATGCACTTGCACTATAAAATCTAATTTATTAAATAAAACTTGTTTAAATTTTAATGGCTTTTTGTTTAATTTCCAAAATGGCCTATGTGCAATGAACTTACAATAATGTCATCAACCCAACATGCCATTATATTTGAATATTGCCCTATTTATAAATTAATATTTCATGAATTGTTTATTTCAATTTGTGTTTGATCTACATAATTATGAGGATAGATATTCTTATTTCTAACACTACCCAAAATTAATTCATTTATATATCATCAATTCAAGCTCAACGCATCAAAGCTATTTATTTAAATTTATTGTTTTTTTTAATTGTTTGATTAGAAATGTAAATGTTATTAAACACATTTAAAAAGGAATTGTAAGGTTTTTTTTTTTTTTCCACAAGATTGTTTGGGACTTATTACCGATTAATCTAGAAGTACATATAGTCTTTTATATCACACATATCAAATAATTATGAAGTTTAAACTCTTGTGGTGTCTCAGAGTAGATATTAGATATTTGGCAGGAAAAGTTTCTATATCCTTTTATTGGTAGTCCAGAGTAGCTAATGAGGCGGCCCATTGGACGGCTCGTGCATGCCTAGATGAATCCTTGCCTTTGAACTGGGTTTGCAGTCCCCCAGTTGATCTTGTTCACTCTCTTTCTTTCAATTCTATGTGATGATTGGAGTAGATTTGTTCAAAAAAAAAAGAAAAAAAGAAAAAAAAACTCTTGTGGTGGTCTCAAAAACAGGTAAAGAATAAAATTTTAAACCATTAATCTATCTCCTAATCTTCAAACTCATAACTTTTAGTAGTGTTTTTTATGAACTGAAGGGTTACAACCCCCTTTATTAACAATGCAAAATTAATCTATTTCTAAAAAATTGTGCACATATCATATGCATTTTTTGGAGTGTTAGAGTAGTTTTATAAGTGAAAAATATTAAATATATAGAATTTATATATATATAAAAAAAAATCATATAGAATAATCCAATATACATGCTTTTAATTATGGCAGAACTTTATAAAATTCTAATAAATCAAAAAAATATAATAAAAAATGTGTATTCCAATTTTGTATGATAATGGCCCTCTTCGGCAAGTTGGTATTTGGCTTCTTTTTTTGTTGTTAAAATTCATAAAAATAAAATAGGTTAAAATAGTTAATAAAATTAAATGTCACATCAAATTCATAATTATTTTACTTTTTCTTTCATAAACATTCCATCCAATTATAAAAAAAATTAACAATCTTTTCAAACACAAAAAATTTTGACCTACTAAAATAGTTAACTTTCAAAACGAGACCTAAATGTCATATATTAAATTATTGGCATTGTTAACAATCAAAATAATTTTTTATAAAAATATTTTACTTATATCCTAAAAATAAATAATTTAAATTATCAATATAAGACTCGGAATGATCCTATTGTGCTCACAGCAGCCATCCTTTATTCAAATCACACATCTCTATTCCTAATTAAATTCATCGTCAATCAACCAATCACAATCAATCTAACACATCACACGTCTCTATCCCTAATTAAATTCATTGTCAATCAACCAATTACAATCAATCGTAGAAACCCCTTTTTGGATAAGTGCAATCGTAGAAACCCCGTTAAATCAGAATCATCAAAATCAAATATTAATGAAAGAAAAATGTTTGGAGGCCCAAATTTTGTGGCTCAAATGTGGCTCAAATGGTCAAAACGACGTCGTTTTGGCCATTTTGATGTTGTTTTGTACTCAAAACGACGTCGTTTTAGCCATTTGAGCCACATTTGAGCCACAGAATTTGGGCCCTCTACCATTGCTCTTAATGAAAATTGGGACTCCTCTTTAACAGAAATTATCTGTGTTAGGAATAAAACAGTAAAAGTAGGGTTGTGCTAATCCAATTATACAGATTTTATTTTGTTTTAACAAAATAATAATAATAATATTTTGGTTTATTTATTTATTTTTATGTTGTCTGATTTAGTTTTTTTAAAAAAAAAATTAAAACACCACAAGCGATGTCAAATTCATATTTGTTAAAATTGTGATTGATTTATATTCACTTAAAAGGTAACATATTTATAAATAAATTAATTAATTAAATTAATCAAAGCGATCATTGTAAGTTTTTTTTTTCAAAATTTTTATAAATATTTTACTTTCTAAATATATTTAAACTATGTGTATTTAAAAATAAATAAATGACTAAAATGTAAAAAAAATAAAACATCTAATAAAAATCAAAAAAATAAAAACTTTTAAACGCAATTAGGTGGTAGTCCATTAGAATATTTAAGACAAATCTTTTTTTATATGCTCTCAAATTATCAATCAATTATTTTTCACATATCACACAGTATAAAAAAATTGGATATAAAAAGTGAGTTTGTATATATATTTTTTACTGTTGATTTTTTTTTTTTTAATAATTGAGTGGGCACACAGCAATCTAATGTTGCGAAAACAGGTGATAACTTCTCTAATTTTAGAGCAAACCACAAAAACGCAAGGCGTCCCAACTCCACCGGGACACGAACAGGTCTTCCACCATATACAGACTCCATTCTTCTCCTATTTATGTTCCCACCCACTTTGCTCTCTTTCTTTCAAACAACCCCCTCGCTGCTCTTCTCTTGCTTCTACAATGGCCGCTCCAACTCCACTTCTGACTAATGAGCTTGACATAGTCATACCCACAATTCGGAACCTGGATTTCCTGGAAATGTGGAGGCCTTTCTTTCAACCCTACCATCTGATCATTGTGCAGGACGGTGATCCTTCGAAGACCATCAAGGTCCCTGATGGGTTCGATTACGAGCTCTATAATCGCAATGACATTAACAAGATTCTGGGTCCTAGGGCTTCTTGCATTTCCTTCAAGGACTCTGCTTGTCGCTGCTTTGGCTACATGGTTTCCAAGAAGAAGTATATCTTTACCATTGATGATGATTGCTTTGTGAGTCCCTTCTTTTTTTGCCTTTTCATTTGGGTTTTGCTTTTCTAGTTATCAAGTTTAGATCTTGACTCTTATTATATACACATCACTATCTTACATGCACAATAAATATACACACGCATATCAATCATATGATTTCAGAGTGTCTAATGTTTTTGTCTTCGTATGCTTTTGGGTAGATCTGTTGATTATGGGTTTTTGAAATCTGGGTTTTGTAAAGCGTTACTCTGGTTAGTGTTTGGTTTATTGGAATGAAGGTGGAATGGTATTATTCCATTAAAATGTTGATTTCCTAGGTTTGATTCACTAAAACAATATCAAAAATATATTACATATGGGATCATTATTCATTAAGGGAATGCTCATGGAATAGGAGGCTGAGGAATGAACAATCCATTTCATTCCCGTGCACCGAACATAGCATAAGTTGATTTCATTTTTATTTTTTGTAGTTTCATCATCCATTTAATCTACATTGTTGTGTCCATAGTGTAAAAACTCTCTTTGTCAACTTTGAATAATTTCATTACGGATTTTATTAATAGGTGATTTTGAGGATATAATTATCTTTTTGGATCATAGTTTTAACTGTAATGACGTATGTTGTGGTAGGATTGGCTGTTTTAATATTTCAATATACAGACAAGGGAATTTATTTATTATGGAATAGAAATAGACTAAGATTTATCTCTTTTCCAATTTGTTTTGTGCAAGTCATAGCCTGATAAGTGGTTATCATGTGAGTTTAAAAGGATATATGCTTTTGTTTTGTTTTCTCAAACACTATTTTCAACCGACTTTCGGCTTTGAATCTCATAAATAGAGTTGGTTGTGTAATTTGAATAATGCTAATAGAGATCTTACAGATTAAATTTTTAAATGCCTTCTCCGTTACTGTCTTACCAATTTGAGTAGTCTAATTTTCCTTGGAAGTTGTTTTTTTAACACATTTAAGTGATATATCTGGGAACCGAAGTATGCCTTTTTAGTTCATTATTAACCATTTATAATGTGATCTACAGCGGTAGAATGTTAAGGATATCAAATCTGATGGCGTGGATATGTAACATATTATTAACAAGGTCTTCACTTTTCTCTTTTTTGTTCTTGGGCTGGTGGGTCCGGATTGTGGCCCTATTTGGTAGAGCTGTGAGAAAGTGATTATAACTTATAATCTAATAGCTTATAGCTTATAACTGTGAACATAAACTGATTTTTTACTTAAAAAGTAAACTTCTCCTCCCCCACTCAAAGAATAAGTTGATTTTTTACTTACAAAAAACTATAAGCTGTATTGTTAAGCTGAACCAAACACATCAAAATAGCTTAAATTAAGCTAAAAGCTGAAATAAGCTGAAAACAAGCTCTACCAAACAGGGCCAGTTAAAGTAACATCACTTTTAGGCATCAACAAAATAATTAGCTAATTGTCCATTCCCATCAGAAACCTCTATTATTGAGGAGTGTTGTTTGATTCTTGCTCTTGCATGCATAGGTGTACTCCATGTAACTGGTGGGCCACCTTTTAAACTGTCAAAAAACTAAAACTAATAACCATTATGAACCTGTTGTTTAAAATTATTGTTATGTAATACTGCCCATAAACAAGAATTGAATTAAGAATTTAAGCGTGGTGTATGAATCTTGGCATGTGACCTATTGAAAGATAGCTACATGATTTTCTGTTGTTGACCTTGCAAGTGATGGTAAAATTTGTTCTCATTTTGTTTTCTATAATTAAGAAGTCTTCTATGCAATATATCAATTTGTCTACACTGTTAAACATATATTAATGCTTAACTACGATGTTTATTTTAGTTACATTAGCGTCTTTTTGTCTTTTCTTCTTGTAAATCCTTACCAATATTAATTTTTTTGGGGATTTAAACTATCATCCAACTTCAACTATGGCTAGTTTTATTCATCTTAATGTTGTGAAATCTATGTTGATGCTTAGGTTGCTAAAGACCCATCTGGCAAAATGATCAATGCCCTTGAACAGCACATTAAGAACATTCTCTCCCCATCAACTCCCAATTTCTTCAACACCCTGTATGATCCTTACCGTGAGGGTGCAGATTTTGTCCGTGGATACCCTTTTAGCTTACGTGAGGGTGTTCCAACTGCTGTTTCTCATGGCCTCTGGCTCAACATTCCAGATTATGATGCACCTACGCAGCTTGTGAAGCCTCTTGAAAGAAACACTAGGTTTGTTTTTTCCCCATTAAAAATACCTTCTGTTTATATATCAATTTTGAAGTTGGATTCTAGACTTTTTTTTTTTTTTGATTGGTAGATTTGTGGATGCGGTTATGACAATTCCAAAAGGAACTCTGTTTCCTATGTGTGGTATGAATCTGACATTTGACCGTGATCTTATTGGTCCCGCCATGTACTTTGGTCTCATGGGTGATGGTCAGCCAATTGGACGCTATGACGATATGTGGGCTGGCTGGTGTGTCAAGGTACCTTTTTCGTTTCTTTTGTTGCCAAGATTTTGTGAAACATAATTGAATTTTCAGAAACCTTTTGGGATTGTACTTTTCACCAAATGTCTTGTTGTGTTGGTTGGTTTAGGTGATATGTGACCATTTGGGATTGGGAGTGAAAACAGGGCTGCCGTACATATGGCACAGCAAAGCTAGCAACCCGTTTGTGAACCTAAAGAAAGAGTACAAAGGCATCTTCTGGCAAGAAGATATCATCCCTTTCTTCCAAGCGGCCACCCTTCCGAAGGACTGCACTAGTGTCCAACAGTGCTACATTGAACTTTCGAAACAGGTCAAAGAAAAGCTCGGGAAAATAGATGAATACTTTGTCAAGCTAGCCGATGCCATGGTCACATGGATTGAAGCCTGGGATGAGCTCAACCCAGGCAAGGGTTCTGCCAAACTGCCTAACGGTTCTGCAAAGTGAAAATTTTGAGTAAACAGTGTGGACTGCCTTTAGTTTTCTGTAGTTTTGATTTAAAAAAAGGTTGTCATACATTTTATATATCTTTGCTTTTCTTTGTATTCTCAGATTTCTGTGATCCCATGTTTGGGTCTGCAGATTGGCGGATGTTATATCTTACTGTTTTACAAGTTTATGAATTTAGAACAATAAATGATAGTTGGTTCAGTTTTAAATTTCAGGCTCATGGAAAGGATGTGATGTAGAACAAAACTATATAAGTTTGTTCCCTATCATTCTCCTCTTCTTTAAAGAACTGGTCCTCGAGTTCCAACTAGAGATCTGCCATCTTCAATTGCTTGCCCTTCTTCCAAAAGTTGTATGTAGAAAAATTTTCTTTCTAAAAGTTATTCTCTATATGCTTTAACTGGTCGACAAGATTAATTAGACAAGTATTGAAAATCAAACTAAATTGCTCCAACATCAACAAAAAATACACTTTGTTGATTTTCTTGGTATAGAGCAATTTAATTTGATTTTCAATACTTGTACAATTAATCTTGTCGACCAGTTGAAGCATATAAATAAGAACTTTCAGAAAGAAAACTTTTCTACATACAACTTTTGGAAGAGAGGCAGGCAACTGAAGTATTCAAATTATCTCTTTATTTGGCATGGAAGATGGCAGATCTCTAGTTGGAACTCGAAGACGAGTTCTTTTAAAGAAGAGGAGAATGATGTAGAACAAAATTATAAAATTTTTATATTTCTTAATTTTATTATTTTGAAATTAGATTCTAACTAGGATTTTAAATAGTTTAGAATTTTAATTTCCTATTATTTTAGGTTTATTAATTTGTGTTGATTTAAGTTTTTTAGTTTATTTTAGAATTACTTTTTCTATAAGTATTAAGTATACTTTATTATAAATCAGCCTACAAGTATATGTAATGAATTTATTCCATCAATAATATTTTACAAAGTTTTTCTTCTATCTCCTTGTGGATTTAAAGGTGTTCTTGTGGATTCAAGAATTTTCGTCTAATTTTATTATTTTGGAATTAGATTCTAACTAGGATTTTAAATAGTTTAGAATTTTAATTTCTTATTCTTTTAGGTTTCTTAATTTGTGTTGATTTAAGTTTCTCAGTTTTATTTTAGAATTACTTTTCCTACAAGTATTAGGTTTAGTTTATTATAAATAAGCCTACAAGTATATGTAATGAATTCATTCAATCAATAATATTTTAAAGATTTTTTCTTCTATCTTCCTCGTGGATTTAAGGGTGTTCTTGTGGATTCAAGAATTGATGTAAAACAAAATTATATAATTTTTATTGTTCTTAATTTTATTATTTTGAAATTAGATTCTAACTAGGATTTTAAATAGTTTAGAATTTTAATTTCCTATTCTTTTAGGTTTCTTAATTTGTATTGATTTAAATTTTTTAATTTATTTTAGAATTACTTTTCCTACAAGTATTAGATTTAGTTTATTATGAATAAGCCTACAAGTATATGTAATGAATTCATTCAATCAATTTTTAAAGAGTTTTTCTTCTATCTTCCCTGTGGACTCAAGGGTGTTCTTGTGGATTCAAGAACTATCGTCCACTAGAACGATAGCTAGTCCTGGTTTTGTCTACTAGAACAATATCTAGTTCCTTCCTACACTACACTACTGTTGCGTCAATTGGTATCAAAGCAAGGTTTTACCTGGCTCGATGTCATTCATCGAAAGAGGAAGCATAAGCTCTATTAATGATGAACGTAGAGAAAGATCTAATAGGATTCGAGTCAAGGGACTTGCCCAAGGCCAACCTATTAGTCACAACTTTAATAGGAACCACGCTATGAGATTTACCCAAGGCCAACCTATTAACCACAATATTTTGAGACGATCTTCTCGTTATTAATACGATAGTGAGGATAAGTTTGAAGATGAGTTATTCGAAGATTATGGTGAATATCAGTTGGTAAGACAACAACGAAGATTCAGTGACGTGCTTAGTAGCAATAATTGCATAAATTATGACTTTTCATATTATCAAGTACAACCAGAAATCCCCAATTTTGATGCTTCTTGTCATGCCGAGGATTTTATTTATTGGTTTCGCAAAGTTGACAAATTCCTTGAGTGTATGGAAATATCAAAAGAAAAGCAAGCCAAATATGCCGCACTTAAGTTATAATGTTATGTTTCTACATGGTAGAGACAATTGCAGTATGATCAAAGGCAACAATACAAACAACACATTAGGATGTGGCATAAAATGAAGAAGTTAATAAGTTCTACATTTCTTCAATCAAATCATGGGTGAATGTTGTATCAACAATATCAAAGAAAGTTTGAATCAAAACAATTGTCCCAAGGTAATTTTGATTCACAATATTCTTTGCAATTCAATAATTATTATTATTCGAGGAACATGACTATGGTTCTGTCAAGTTTGGGTCAATCAAGTATTGTGGGTCAACAAATTTGTCACGCTCAACCACGCATTGAAGAAGAAAAGATTTTGAGTATCTCAATGTGGGTGTTTGGGAAGTTGTTATTTTAATAGGCTATTTTAGTTTTTGGCTATTTTAGTAGGCTAAAATTTTTGTGTTTGGGAAGATGATTGATTTATTTTTATTTTTATTTTTTTGTAGTTGGATATGATATTTGTGAGAGAAAATGTAAAATGATTATGAGTTGGATATGACATTTTGTTTTATTGACTATTTTAGCATATTTTGTCTTTTTATGAATTTTAACCTAAAAAAGACTAAAATTTTACTTCTCAAACACGCCCAATGTTTGAAAAATTTGAAGACCCAAACAAACATTCAATTGAAGTGGAAAATCAAGTTGATTTCAACAACAGTGAGAATGTTGAAATTGGTGAAAGAGAGGTCACTGAAATTACTTTAATCAAAAAGTTTGAAGAAGATAATGAAAAGGTGAAGCCAGAAAAAAATGTTGAAATTAGCCAAGAGCTTCTAATGACAGAACTATCATTTCTTGATTATTATGATGGTTATGAGATCACAAAAGAAGGAGATCTAGTTGAACTCAATGAAAAAGAAGAAATAAAAGATGAGGTAATAAAGTTGATGAAAAATTTAGAAATTCCCTAGATATTGATTTGTGATTATGTATCAATTTTAATGAGTAAATAACAATTCCAATTAAACAATCAAAGACAATCAACATAACGATTTAACGTAGAAAAATCACAATTGAAGCGCCTCCAATTGTGATAAAAAATCACGGGCAAAAGCTACAAAATAATCCACCAAGAAAATATAAAGGGATTACACAAGTGTACTCTCAATTACCTAGCAAATCCACGCCCGAATTGAATCGACCCCTATGTGCCTCTTCTGGCCCCATCTTCACCTCAGAATTGTCTTGCCCAACGTTGAATCTACAATGCCGATGTCGAATCACGACTATGAGCCACTCCGAAATCTACCAAATCTTCAAGCTCGAATTCCACGGAATCTACCGAAGAACAACACACTCTTTTATATTGAACGAAAAAAAATAATCCTTTGATGTATACTTTTCAAACCAGATTTAAACTCAAACAAACATCAAAGAAACTAGCAAAGAAGCTCCAGATATAAACCCTAATATCCAAAAAGAATATCTGAAAGCCGTACATTAAAATTTGACTAAACTGCACCTTTTATAGCAAATTATTTTGCGATCTCCGCTCGAGCGCAAGAATGGCCGCTCAAGCGGATTGACGCTCGAGCGTAGGAAGTGTCACTTGAGCGCAAAAACACAACTTCTAGTATTTTTGTAGACGGTTCAAACTTCTGGAACTAAATATTCTCTGTTCGAGCGCACAAATGGCCGTTCGAGCACACAAGTAACTTCGACTACAATTTTGCTTCTGGCTTCGGGGGTGCTGCCCCTCGACCCCGCCTAGGCGTTGCCCTTTGGACCCCCGCGAGCTGACTAGGCAGCTCGATCCCCGACATAGTCAGCGAATTGGCAAACATGATAGGATTAAGATATCAAGCTCCTCTGCATATGCACAATTCGTGTTGGATTCGCATATAAAAACTCATAACCTCACTGAAATAAAAGATCGAATAAAATTACAACTGAAAGAAGTTTTGTCAAACGGGATTGCCAAGAATAAAACTTAACAATTGACATATGTACTAGAAAAGTTGATTGAGGATACAATTGAATGTCCAATTAAATCTAAAACAAAGCAAAGTCTAGAGAGTATCCAACATCAACATAAAATACACTTCATTGATTTCTTTGATGTGGAGCAATTTAATTTGATTTTCAATACTTGTTTAATTAATCTTGTCGACCAGTTGAAGCATATAAAGAAGAACTTTCAGAAAGAAAACTTTTTTACATACAATTTTGGAAGAGGGGCATACAGCTGAAGTATTCAAAATCTCTCTTTATTTAGCATGGAAGATGACAAATCTCTAGTTAGAATTTGAGGTCGAGTTCTTTTAAAGATGAGAAGAATGATGTAGAACAAAATTATATAATTTTTATATTTCTTAATTTTATTATTTTGGAATTAGATTCTAACTAGGATTTTAAATGGTTTAAAATTTTAATTTCCTATTTTTTTAGGTTTCTTAATTTGTGTTGGTTTAAGTTTTCTAATTTATTTTAGAATTACTTTTCCTACAAGTATTAGGTTTAGTTTATTATAAATAAGCCTACAAGTATATGTAATGAATTCATTTAATCAATAATATTTTAAAGAATTTTTCTTCTATCTTCCTTGTGGATTCAAAAGTGTTCTTGTGGATTTAAGAATTCTCGTATACTAGAATGATATCTAGTCCATGTTTTGTCTATTAGAACGATATCTAGTTTCTTTCTACACTACCTAATATGAACTATGAACTCGAGAACGAGTTCTTTGAAAGAAGAGGAGTTTGATGTAGGACAATATTTTAAGAATTCTTATATTTTTAGTTTTAATATTTTTGATATATTATTTTTTTAGAATTCTTGTAATTTAGTATAAATATTTTAGAATTATTAGGTTTCTTAATTTGTTTTGATTTTGTTTTTCTAATTTCTTAGGTTTCTTATTTTCCAAGAAGGAAAATATTTGGGACCACCTTTGGGGATGACTTCCACACTCCCAAAGTAATCCTAACTCTCAATGTATGTGTATGTATATATGGGGTTCACATCATGAGTGGTCCAGATTTGTGGGGGTCTTGTGGAGGTTTTGTGGGGATGGGGGTCTCAATCATT